TAAAGGTGTTACTTAACTTATTCTTGATTATCAGAAGTCAAGTTTTTAATTAAAAAGGATTGTAAACAAGTAAGGAAAAATAGAAGTGGCTTTTTAAATTACTTTTCAAAAAGTTTCAAGAAAAGTATTAAGACTTTTTTAGCAAAAAAAGTAAAAGAATCTCTAGTGACATCTTTTTTATGTATGATCAAAGGATTAGTAAAAAGAGCTTTTTTTTATAAAACAATATATATTATTATAGCTAAATATTATTATCATATCTAATAAACTTATTATAAATAATAATAGTATTTAAGTTAAGTTTTGAAAGTAATATTTCATTTTATAATAGTTTTGAATAAATAATTTTCTATTTTATCACTTTATTATCAGCAATTGTCACTGTTATATATTTTATCAAATCATTAAAATATAGAAAACTATGAATTGAAAAAAATATATATATTTAAAAATATACGAGTATACTACAAGAAAATAAAAATAAAAAATTTTTAAAAGTGATAACTTTTTCTTTGTTCACACACAAAAAAGATGTTTGCAAGAAATTTTTTATTTCTTTGCTAATAAAATCTTAATACTATCCTTAAACCAACTTGAAGTTTTACTTCAAGAGATACTTTCAAATTCTCTCCCTTGTTTATATTCATTTTTAAACAAAAACTTGGCTTCCTGTGACCTAGAAAAGTCAAGAAACACCTTCTCTACCAATGGCAAGAAAATTTTGTAAGAAAGAAAAATTGATAGTATAGTACTTGAAGCCTTTCATATTGAAGCATGTCTATAGAGATTTTTAGCAATAGGAGGTGGTGAACATTACAAGAAATTCACAAAAATAATAACAAAAGAAATTAAATATAATACTTTTTAGAATTTATAAGAGTGATCTGTAATGGTAACTTGTAAGCAATAATATTACAGGTTGGAAAATTTTTTATTTAAACCATTAATGAAATAATAAATCATTCTTGAAGTTGTGCTTAGAGCGATAGTAACCATAATAAGTGAGTTAGAGATTTAACTTTAACATCATATTTTATATATAAAGTTTACAAATGTTTAATAAAGCACACTTAACTAACCTGACGGAGTATTAAAAAAAATTATTCATTTTTCTAAATTTTATGATAAAATAAATAGTTTGAAAACTCGAAATTCATAATTAAGATACAGTATAATTTTTTATTGATTTGATTTTTAGCGTTACTTATTATTATATAACAAACCCGTCAACAAGTTAAATATAACATTGGTTTATTAACACTATAAACGATATGTTTTGTATATACATTGTCCTTTCCTTTACTCTAGAAAGATCGATAGCCTTTTACTCCTGGCGCTAAGAGTCTATTTCAAATATATACAGTATATACAGTATATACTGTATACTGTATAGTTGGTATATTCAGTGTCACACGCCTATCTTATTATTATGTGACGGTTGACCGATAATATTGAATTTTTGTTGAGTACATATTCTCTGGTTCCCGAGGATAGATGAGTTTGCTATTCCATATGCGGTGGGTTCTTTACACGCATCCTAGGAAGCACCCGTCAATGTCAAAGATTCATATTTACCGTATACGTATCTATGTATAAAATTGTACATGTACTTAAAATGAAGTACCGTCTATTCATTATGTAATCCTTTGTTTTTTAAATCCCAATAATAAATACTACCAGCGTTGAAAGTATGGTGTCGATGAAAGTATCGACGGATATGGAGTATTAAGTGATACGGTTGAACTTGATAACGACAGGTCTTTGTATAATGACGAGGCCGAGACCTTCGACGTTAACGCTAGTGACGAGGATGACTTGAATTGATTACTTGCACAACCGCCATTGGCTGGTAATTGCCGGACCCCAATATACTCACTGTCAAGGTATCGATACTCCGATGATGAATCATCGAATGATTCACGTGACATAATCAATAATCCGTTACTATCTCGAAGTGAACTCCGTTGCGCTTTGTGTTTCTCCGATATATTAGCAACTCTAACAAATTCCTCTATGAGAAAATCAGTGTTCGATCTCCAGAGACAAAATTTTATGCACAATTGATGCGAGATGTTAATAAATCTTCCTTGACAAGTTGGTTGTGTAATGTGCGGAATGAATATTTCTATAATGTGAGAGCATTCTTCCAGGTAATTTGATTGTACGTATTGCAATTCAGTATCTGGGATTATAATATCGACTAGCTGTTTTTCGACACGAGTTTTTTCATTCTGTGTTGAACATGAGAATTCCATTAGGGCTTTCAACACCACTTCCAACTTTTCAATTCCGATACTGGGACGTAAGAATCTCAATGTCATCGGGATTGAAACGTAATCTCCAAGACCGAAAATCTTATTTGGTGGCAACATAAAAGTGTATTCGATTCCGTTTGGTGACTTCCCGTGCATCCTACATGGTAACAGTAATGCATGATCTAAAGTTAAGGTACGTTTCAGGGGGCAATATAATTTTGCAAAATGTGTACCCGTCCCAAATAATCCTTTTGTACTGACGGTGACTCGAAGTGTATATTGAACAGTTCCTATTTCCGTGATTATCGTTTCTTGGAGGTTATAAGGAATTTGTATTTTAAAGGGTATATCTAGCGCAGTGATTTCTTCAGCATTTTCAGATGCTTCCCATATCTTATTTAATTGGTCGACCAACGTATGTTCTCCCGTGTAGAGGACCTTTAACCTTGCTTGAGTTTTATACCAGAAAGTTTTTTCAATTCCTTTAAGATGAAGGTGAACATTTTTCACTACACACGCTCTCGGGTAGTTTAGATGAACTGCGCCCGTAAGAAATGTATCTGATTTACCGAGATTCCCTTGCTGAAAGGTGATCTCGTCTTCCGCAAATGAAAATTTGATGTTCTTGTGTGATTTTATATAAACATCGATTTGCGGTTTATTTTTAAATGAACCAGTCGGGGGAACTTCGCTGTGAACGTGGTTCAGGGATGAAAAATACATTGCATTAATTTATTAGGCCCGTTTGCTTTGTCCAACCGGCGGACGATGATTCGATAGAATTCGAAGAGGCGGAAAAGTTGAAGTCAATTTGATCTTGACAAGTTAAGCTTTTTATTCAAAAAATTTTTGATCCATCCGTTTTATGTATTAACTTTCGGAAAAGGATGCGTTCTATAGTAAGATTTGCGTCACTGTTTGTTTACGATTTGTAAAACGTGTAAAGAAATTTCCATGCATAGAGGAATTCATACACATGTGCAGCACGTAAAAACTAACATTATTAAGGAATCCTAAATTAAAATCCTAAAAAACTATATGTCTCACCTCCGAAGTTTACACAAACATGCGGTTTGAACATCAACCAATTAATAAACTCGTTGATTAGCTACCTCGATACAACCACCATGTAAACTCTCTAACAAGGAGAATCAATTGACAATATGATTTTTCTGTATAGATGTATAGATCGAAAACATTTTGCGTTAAACTGATTCAGTGCACTCTTCTTGCTATCGTGAATCGTGAAGACTGCTCTTAATGAATTGAAACTTGACTTAAGTGAGCTGATCGAAACCTATTAGGATACTTTATATGGTTTTATAGATGTAACATACCGTTTTTATCGTCAAGATCCGGATGAAATTTTTTGACGTTATAATTGGTCTTTTTCACAAAATGAAGTATACCATTTTCATGTGCTGTACACTGCGACTCACGTACATATTTTTATTGTGCATTAATTTACATTTGGAACTAATATCTCGCGGACCTTAAATTATTAATTAGTTGTATCGATAATCTATTGTTAGAAAGTACAAAATCTACCATGTGGCAGGGGTACGGTCCCTAGTATAACAAAGGGCGTTCGATTTTGCGAATTACTGTATTTTATGATAACTTCAAAATGGGATCAATTAATCAATATACGGTTTAAATAATATTATATTATTATATTATGTAATGTGTCAAATTCTTCTTGCATATAATTTTAATTTAAAATTAATTCTTGCATATTATTATTAGCATTAAAAAGCTTTCTTTTTTTTTTTTTTTTTTTTTTACATATTATCAACATCAAAAAGGTTTTTTGATAATATAAAAATTTAAAAGTAAAAAAATATCCGCTTTTAAAAAAACTTAAAAATATCATTAATTTAAACCTTTTAATAATTGAACAAATAAATTTCTTTCGTTGATAATATTTTTTAAAAAAGGTTATTATTTATATAAAAAAAAAAATAATGTAAAAATATGATAAATAAATGTATAAAATTAAATATGGTATATAAAATAATATTATAATTAATATTATATAATAAAAAACTTATTACACCCCAGAAGCCAGAAAAAATTCTAGAGAAACTTAATATTTCTAATCAATAAAATTTTTAAATTCATATTTATATTATTTCAATCAATCTTTATTAAAGTAAAAATATAAAAATTATTATATTTACAATACCTATCTTAGTATATTATTAATTTAAAAATTTATTGAATTAATTTAAACTAAATAAAATAAAGTTTTAATTATATACTTTAAATCAAATTTAAAAAACAATATTTTATTTTTTTTTAATTTTATATTATAATTTTTAATTCAAGAAATTATTGTCTATAAATTATTATTATTATTATTAATTTAATTTACAGTTAGATCAATATGGCTTATTATTATTATATAAATATATAATATCTATAAATTATTTAACTTTCACATATTGACTCACACATTATTCAAAAACTATTTTTCTAGCTACAACTTAAAAAATATTATTTTATTTCTTTACTGATTTGAAATCAGTAAAATCATTGGCTACAAATTATTATTATGAATTCTATCTACAATTAAAAACTAAACTATTTATTTCATAATAAATCCAATTCTTAAGAATTTCTATATAATTTTTTTTCTCATTTTTTTCTACTTGTTTTTGATCTGAATTTTCAACTGAAAATGGAATAAATTCTTTATGGTTTTGTATTATTTATTAATTGGACTTATATTTAAGTCTTTTAGATTTTTTTTTTTTTTAGTAATATTTAATTCATTTTTCTATTCTATTACTTTGACACAATAGTCATTTCAGATTTTTTTCTTAAAATTTTTTCATATTTCTAATAGAGTTTATTAATTATATTCTTTATAAATATTAAAGGATCTTGGATTGTTTTTTAAAATAGCTTTTTAAAAAATTAATCTTGCTTTCTTCTATATATTTACAAATAATATTAAGAAGATTTCTATTAAATTACTATATCTTATTTAATTAGTTTTTATCCAATTACAAATTATGAATAGAACTTTCTTCTTATTCTTTATTTTTTTATCAATATAGTAAATAAACTTCATATTCATTACTTTCTATATGTTTTCTCTAGCTTCTATAGTAATCAAGTATTCAAAATAATAATGTTTTAACATTTTTATTTTGAAGCTCACATATTAAATAAATTATTATAATATAGATATTTGATTTTCTTTTTCTGAATATTTATAATATTGAAAGTTTATTATGAATTAAATCAATTGAAAAACTTTTGTCTTTATTAACTTTGAAAGAGGTATAGAAAATATTGAATAAATTAAACTAATTTCAAAAGTTTAATCAATTTATATTATTACTCTGTTAAATCCAAAAAAATTTGAATTCTTTTTTATAAGATTCAATCTAATCCAATTCTTTTTCTATTGAAAATAATTATTCATAAATTGTATTTATTAGTTATCTTAAAATTAATAAATTGTTAAATTAAAATACTAAAAAAAGAATATATATATATACTGTATATATAATTTAAAAAATTTTTTAAAAGTTTTTTTTAAAAAAATATCATATTAAAATAGTTTTCTTATTTTTAATTATTTAAAAAATTTATTTATTTTTGAACCTATAAAAATTTTTTATTATTTTTTAAAATATTTTTATATCAGTATTTAATTAAATAAATAAAAATCTTATTTTATCCAATTAAAAATAATAATTATTTATTTTTTAATATTATTAAAATTTTTAATTAATTAATAAAAACTTATTTTATTTTAATAATAATATGTTTAATTATCTTTATTAAAAATTATGCTATTTAAAAATTTAAAGTTAAATTGAAATAAATAAAGTTTATCAAAATATTATAAATAATTAAAAAAAAAATAAATTTTCTATTATATTTTAATGATAAAAAAAGTTTTTAAATATTTTATAAATAATTTATAATTCTTTAAAAATTTTTTTATTATTGATAATAAAAATATTATTTAATTTTTATTTATTTATCAAAAGTAAAATTGAAATTCAATAATATTATAAATAAAAAAAAAAAAAAAAATGACAATTTTTAAAAATATTTTTTATATTGTTTTAACAATATTATTAAGATTTTATTAGTAAAAAATCAATAATTTATTTACAAAAATTTTTTATTTTGTAAGTAAAAAACTTTAAACTCTACTATTTATAATAAAAAAAATTAGATTTAGTAGAAGAAATTAAATAAAAAAGTATTTTATTTTTTTAAAAAAAATTTTTATAGTTTAAAAAAAGGTATTAAAATTATTTATCTTTATATTAATTAAAAAACTAGTATTTTTATTATAAATAATAATTTTTTTTTAATGTACAATAAAAAATTTTATTTATTTTAAATTTTTTATTATATAAAATTTTAAATAAATTAATTAATTGAAATTTAAATTAATAATTAAATATATAAATTATACTTTTTATTTTTTGTTAATTTTTTTTTTTTTTTTTTTTTTTTT